CCCCTAGACACTGGGAACATCTTCGGCTCCTGACTGGCCCCTCCTCTGACTCCAAGGACACAGGTGCTTTCCTGCTCCGCACCCACGTCTCTCTCCTTTCTCGCTTTCTAGCCTGTGCCATTTCCTTCTAGCTTCCCCCACATATCCTGACACTTTCAAGCTCTGGGCAGCAGAGGTGGTGCAATTTCTTGGCATTCAGGCAGAGTAAGGGACTGGTGAGGATGAAGAGGAATGAGCCCTGGACTGGTGCCTGGGCCTGTGAGAGGCCCAGGGCAAGGGACTCAGTGTCTCCAAAGTGCACTTTTCTCACCTGCAGAAGAGGAATAGTGAGACCTGAACATCTTTCCTCTTAGGGTTATTGTTGAGATTCAACATGTACCGACCACTAGCCCCCAGAGATTGGGGGAAACAAATGCCTTGGGATTCCACATATAATGGCAAAACAACCCCAGAGTAGAAGAGGGCTTGAGCCTTTAATGGGCAGTTATTGAGGACCTCTTATGTGTCGGACACCGAGCTAAGCGCTTCACCTGCATTATGTCTTTTAATAGTCACAAAAACCCTATGATACTGCTATCCCCATTTCACAGACGAGGGATTTGGAAGTCTAGTCAGGTGAAGCCACTTACCCAATATCACATGCTCAGGTAGAGGCTGGACTCAAGCCCAGACTTAAAGTCAATTTTACCTGACCCCAAGCTGCCACCCTGCAGCAGCCAAGGCAGCAATGACTTAGACACAGGTCCTGAAGGGGCTGTCCACAGCCTACTCCCTGCCTACACACCCTGTGGTCAGGGCAAAAGGAGAGGATGAAAAGACTTTTCTTCCTAAGACAGAGTTTAGAATCTCTGAGACCAGAGGCTCTCAACACTAGCTGCACAGAAGAATCACCTGGAGAATGTCCTATTGGTCTGAGACCATCCCAGGCAAATTCAATTAGAATCTTTGGTTAGGGACGACTCTGGCATTTTCTTTCTATTTTTATTGCTGTTGTTGTTGAGACGGAGTCTCTCTCCATTGCCCAGGCTGGAGTGCAGTGGTATGATCTCAGCTTACTGCAACCTCTGCCTCCCGGGTTCAAGTGATTCTCCTGCCTCACTGCAACCTCAGCCTCCCAAGTAGCTGGGAGTACAGGTGCACGACACGATGCTCCACTACTTTTTGTATTTTTAGTAGATAAGGTTTCACCATGTTGGCCAGGCTGTTCTCGAACTCCTGGCCTCAGGTGATCTGGCGCTTTGGCCTCCCAACGTGCTGGAATTACAGGCATGAGCCACTGCACCTGGCCAGCATTTTCTTTAAAGCTCTCCTGGCGATTCTAATGGGTGGCAAGAACTGAGACTCACTTCCTTAGGCCTATTTATTATCTACACTTATCAAAGCTCCTTTACATGAATTATCTGACCAGAGCCACCCCGTAGCTATAGGAAGGAGGCAGAGGAGGAGTCGCTGTCCTCTTTTTACAAATAAGGAAAATCGGGCTCAGGGAAGGGAAGGCTGACTCTTTCTGACTGCATCTCTCAGCTCCTACCAGGACCCTGGGGCCTTGTGCCCTCCACTGCTAAGCGAGGTTTCCTGACTTCAGCACACACCCCAGCCCGGCATGTGGGCCCTGGGGAGGAGAATGATTACCCCATCTGCAGAGCGCGGCCCTGCGGGGTGGAGCCAGCATGAAGTTATTTGAGATGAACAAGAGGAGTGCACAGGCACGAGGACCTTGGACTTGGGAACGGATAAAGGGGGCTGGGGAGGGCTTGTGCTGGGAGGTGTTAATGGAGAGGGTCCGCTGGGAATCACCCCTGATTAGAAAATGTAATTCAGCTCATAGGGTTTGTCTTAAATTCCCCAAGACAAGGAGAAAACAGGCTCATGAAAGAAGTTTCCAGGCAGTCATAAGCACCCCTCAGGTAGATATCACAATAACCCCATTTTGGAGATGAGAAAACTGAGACATACAAGGTAAGCAAACTGCCCAAGACTCGTCATCTCATAAGGGGTAGAGTGGGGACTCGATCCTGAGAGCAGCTCTGAACCTGCACTCGTAACCCGCCAGCTATCCTGCAGAGAATCCTAGAGGAACAAATGCTGAAATACGGGCAGCTGTCATTCTCGGTGGAATGAAGCTGCTCATGGGTCTGTCTCTAAGGAACAGGAAGTAGCCATTGTCCCAGGTGGAATAAGGCCCCAGGGCCAGGCAGAAAGGAGGCGGTGGTCCTCATTTCAAACACGGAGCAGCTGCAGTCACAAGACTCTGAGCCCAGAGGGGAGATCTCCTTTCCAGACAGAGTAGATACTGCCTCGGTCCCAGCACCAGGCACAAAAATGTGAGGAGAGCCCAGGAAGCACCTAGAAGACTTACAGAAGAGAAGGAGGCCAGAACCCAAGAGCAATTCCTGACCAATTCCAAGGGAGGAAGGGCAACTGGTGTCCCAGCTCCAGGGAGAATGGTTTTGTGGTTGACCCGGAGGCTGGGAAAGTTACGGGTCCCTTGGAGGTGGAGGAAATGAGGCCTTGAGATGCGAAGTCCCTGAAGTGCTCTGCCCAGAAAAGTAATTGGCGAGAAAGCTTACTGCCCCAGAGGGACAGAGCCATTAGTCCCCAAAACAGAGGTTCTGGTCTTTTGCAGGCAGAGGTCTGGGGTTCAGGTGTGTACCCTGAGTATTCTGCCTCTAACCCAGGGATTCCAAGTGGCTTTGGGGATGGAAAACCTTGCTTCCCCTCCGCCCTGGGGCCCTCCTCTGTGCTCACAAGCTGCTCTCCCGTCCACTCTGGGGATGCCAGGCCGCTTGACGCAGATCACTGCCAGGCCTTCCTCCACTACCTTCATTCCTAGCCACGGCCCAGGCTGCCTTCTCCACCGAGGGGCAGAATAATGGAACCCCTTCTGATTCCAACAAGAACCTTAAACTAGGAGCTGGACACAAGTCTTCTCAAAGCAGCACATCTGTGATCCTTATAGTCCCCTGGGGTCACACCTGCTCACAAGGACATTTACTTTCCTGTTCCCACTCCCCAGAACACACCTCACCCTGCAAAACCACTCCAGACCAAGTCCAACTCATCATCCGTGACCCAGCGCCATTCATTTCTCAGTCTTCCCTATCCCAGATTCCAGACGGGATTAACCTCCTTCTCTTGTTCCTCCCCGTAGCACTTGGTTTGTATTTGTCATGGTGATTAATAACAGTCTGCCTTGCATGCTACTTATTTACCAAGAAGTATCAGACTAAAAGCTACCGAGGGCAGAAACCACATCTCGTTGACCTCCACATTTCCCAGTGTCCCGGCACAGCTCTTCTCCCTTAGGTGTCCAGTGAATAAATTCATTCATCCAAGAAACACTGACTGGGCACTTCCTGGCTGAGTGACTAGGATTTGGATGTGCGACAAATTTAAGGGGCTGGATGTATTCACCTGTCTCTCCTCCACCTTTTCAAAATGGATTTTCTCCCAACCAGCCTCATTCTGTTGTGACCTTAGAACATCTCTGGTTGTTAACAGAGGCATGTCATCATGGCTCACAGTGGGCAGGCCATTCCTGGGAGTCCAGGGGAGGTCCTGCTCAGGGATGGGAGTGCACATTCCTGGGGGCTGGACACATGCCTGTCCACTCCCTGTCCCTGGTTTCTTTTTGTGGAGAAAGAGAAGTCGGTACTGGAAAGAACCTCAAAGTGCATCCATGTGAAGCCTTTCACCTTGCAAACCTGAGGCTCAGGGGTGGCGGAGAACACACGAGCATTTGGTCACAAAGCTCAAATGAGAAGCCAGGTTCAGAACTGCTTTTCTGTGTTCCAGATGTTACGTGCACCCATGTAGGAGCTCAGCTCTGGCCGAAGGACATGGTGGAAAGGGCACTGCTGAGACCTAGCTGGGCTCTGATGAATTCACTGTGTGTAAAGCTCCACCCCTTCCTGGGCCTCAGCCACCTCCTGGAGGGAGGGAGGTGGGCTAGATGACAGCTCACCTCCCTTCTTGCTGAAGTCTGTAGGGTCCAGAGCGCCTCTTCTTAGCATCCCGGCCATGCTGTACATTATAGGAAGGAATAGGAGCCAGGGGAGGGGGCCCAATTTGCCGTCACCTGTTCCAGTCTTTGTGGCTTCCGAAGTAGCCAGCATTTGCCTTTTGCCTCTGGCTCGGTGATTTCTTTGGCAAATCTTCTGGCAGGCCTAACAGCCATTCACAATATTTTACAGGTTTGACTCATATCTTGTTTGGGTTTGGCGTCCCTGTCAACCCACTAGGCTGAGCACACGGGTAGATAATAATTAGCATTCTGCTTAGCAGCGGTGCCGATTAACAAAGGCCCAAATCCTCGACAGTAACCGCAGAGCCGGGAACCTGCACTTCCTGTTGTTCTTTGGAACTAACCCCTGTTCCCTGGTGCTCTCCTAAGGACCAGGACATCTTCTGGCACACCTGCTCCTGCTGCGGGGAAGCTTTAGCTCATCAAGTCACTTACGCAGAGCCTGTCTGGTGCTTCCGGATGTGTAGTTTACTTAGGAGCATTCCAGTGATGCTGACGGTTTCTTTCAAAGAAAGAAACTTTTCAAGAACTTACTTACATGCTGCCATGCTCACTCCCTGGGCGTTCTGAGATGTGCTTCTTTGCTAACACTCCTGACAGCTGGGTATAGCTACATTGAGAAACACGAGAAGCGAGTCCTGTCTGCCTTGGCTTTACGGGTGGTGATGGATGTGTAAAAGAAACACAAACAAGGCAAAGCTTGTCCTCTGCCTAAGGAGATGCGACCTCCAGCTGCACTGAACACCCGGCCCATTACTCAGAGCTACATTCCAACCATGCTCCACCCCAGGAATATGCTAGAGGGACCCAGCCACCACTGAGAAAGAGCCACTTCTTGCGAGAACCCTAAAATATGAAGTCCGGCCTTCAGAGCCCCCAGGCAGGCAGCTGTCTGGACACTCTGGCTTCGCAGGCTGGCCCAGGGGACGCACGGGCTTCCAGGAAGCACCTGATGGAGAAGATGCCATGCACTCACCGGCCATGTTTTGCTTTCCTCCGCCTCTTCTCAGGCTCCTCTGGGGATGGCACGGGCAGTGCTGAGAGACAGGCTGCCAAGGATTGCCTTACCATTTATAGAAGCTCTCCTACACACCCCAATTAGAATTCTAATGAGGTGGGCGAGGCACCAGGTCATTCCTGTAGTGCCTGTAAACGTTTCACTTACGACAGACTTGTCACCCAATGGGAGAACATCATGTTTGTACAAGACCAGCTTGGGGAGAAGGGGGCAGATAATCAAGAAACTCAAATAGTTCGCTTTTATACTTTTATAAAATGATTGACTATTTCCTGGATTGTAGGGATTAAGAAATGATGATATGCCTTTCTCGCTGATCCTAGGAAGTTCTCTCTGAATCAAAGCAGAACCAGAACCAGACAATTGTGAAGTCCTTTCTCATGATACACATATATCAGCATCTTCCGCTTGCACAGGGAAGTGAGACACACCACAGTTCACTTGTTTAGGGCTGTAGTGTGGCAGAAGCCATTTGATTTGGAATTAGAAGCCATTGGTTCTGATGCTGGCCCAGCCCTGGGCTGTCTCCAACCCCTGAAGCCTGGAAGCCTTGTTTGTGGTTGGGGATAACCACTCCCACCCCTCTCAAGCCACAAATCTGTGGACACAATCACATGAGCTGGTGCACACGGGAAGCGTATGCATGTGTACCGGGATGGATTCAACTGAGATCGCACCTGGAATCGAATGTCGGTTTGAGTCCAGATTCGGGGGAGAACTGTTTTTAATGAGGCAGCAGGAGCAGCCTCTAACCTTATGCTTCTGCCAGTTCTTTCTCAGGCTGCAGGGTAAGTCACTGACCCTCACTGGGCCCACCTTGACATCGGTATAAAGGAAGAGTGTGCAGTGGGGAGAAGCGCTGACATTCTGCATGTTTTTGCTTCCTTGATTGTTTCTAAGGGGCTATGTTTTTCCAAAGTTCCTACTATTGATATTTACAAATATCAAGGTTTCCGATAGATAAAGGAGCGAGCATATTTTTTTTTAAGTAATGCTTCAAGGATTTTTGAGAGAACAGAAATGTCCCAAGGCTTCCCCCAGCATTGCAGTGGGGAAGGAAGACTCAGCACCATGGTGACAAGGTTGGCTCTTTAGGGAGAAGTGAGAATGTTTGATCTTGAGAAAGATAAGACCGAATAAACAGGTGGTTTGGAAAATTGAAAATGAGAAACTCATGCCCTTTCTCCATCCTTTAGGCCCCTGCAGGCTTTTGTACACCTTAGGACCTCTACTACCACATGTGTCCACTGGAACTGCCTGTTTATATCTGTCCCCATCTCCAGACTGAGCTCCTTGAAGGCCCAGGTTGCATATTATTCAAATCTTCTTCTCAGAACCTAGCACAGGACACGACACGTGGCTGTAACACACATTCTTGAATAAGTGAATCAATATCACTCTAAAGATGGGAATAATAACTACCAATTTAGTGCTTACTAGTAATAACTAATCGATTTAGCGTTCGCTGTGGGCAGGCACTGGCTAAACACTTTACATATATTTTCTCATCTTCATAGCAACCCTATGCAAAAGGGCTATTATTTTGCCATCTTACGGGGGACAGAGATATTAACCTGAGCCTATCCAACTGCGAGATTCATACCCATACGTAAATGGCTCCAAAGCCCGTTTGCTTAATCTCAGAGGTCAGCGCCTAAATCAGGCAGCCTTTCCCAGGACTCTGGTGGCTCTAAGACAGCCATGCCAGGCAGAATGGGATGCACTGTAGCCTCTGGCAGAGGACTAAGTAAAGAGCAGAGAGTAGACAGGGACACGGAAAGAGCCCTGGACCTGATGGGAGACTCATGTGTGGTCTTGGCCCCTGCCATAGGCACTAGCTGTGACTCTGGGCGAGGCCTCATGACGCCAAGTTCATCCTGCCAGAAAGCTGGAGGGCGGCTCCAGGAACGGCAGGGGATGGATGGATGTGAAAGTGCCCTGCATGCTTCTGAGTGTGGTCCAAAGGCAAGGAGGGGCTTGCTTGTTATTGTTGTGGTTGCTGCTGTTGGCCTGGGAGCCAAGGAAAATCAGACCCCGGGCATTCCTTTCAATGACCTGATAAGGAAAGCTGCAGAGGTGACAGGGAGGAACCTGACGACACACAGTCTTGGCTCTGCTGAGTCTCCTCACCTATCAAAGCCTCTGTTTCCTCCACTGTAAAACTGAGTGGAATTGCTTTGAGAATCAAAGGAGATGATGAGTGTAAAAGGCTCCGCACAGCATAAGGCACGGCCCAGTGTCAGAAGTTAGTATTCATAATATTGTATTATTAGCCTGGCCGGGTGCGGTGGCTCACGTCTGTAATCCCAGCACTTTGGGAGGCCGAGGCAGGCGGATCACTTCAGATCAGGAGTTTGAGACCAGCATGGGCAACACGGTATAACCCCATCTCTATTAAAAATACAAAAATTAGCTTGGCATGGTGGTAAGTGCCTATAATCCCAGCTACTCAGGAGGCTGAGGCAGGAGAATTGCTTGAATCTGGGAGGTGGAAGTTGCAGTGAGCCAAAACTGCACCACTGCACTCCAGCCTGGGTGACAGAGTAAGACCCTGCCTTAAAAAAAAGTATATTATTAGCCTCAAAGGCCTTGAGTGTCACAGGTTTTGCAAGGGGGCCCACAAGTTTGGCCATTGACCACTTGGTCTTCTCTAGAAGGGTCTGTAGCTGGTCAGTCTTGATCCCAGAGTAATGTAGTAAAAGTGAACCCTGATTTGGAGTCAAAAGACCTGGATTCAAAGCCAGGCTTTGGAACTTGTCCACTGTGTGACATTGGCTGAGTTCTTTGACTTCTTTGGCCCTCAGTATCCTTATCGGCATGATCCACACACCTTCCAGGGCTGCCACGAGGCTGAGAGCCAGGTGAACCTGCGAGTATGATGCTCCTCTGTAGACAGGCTGGTGTCACACAGCCAGCTTCCCTTCTTCCCTCCACAGCTCTTTCAGCCAGGCTGACTGTAGTCTTTGCAACTGACCAGCAGTAGGGCCCCGACAGAATTCTGCCCTGACTTAATGTTGAGTACTGGAGGATTGCGCCATGGCCGCAGTCACAGCCCCAACCTGCGGGCAGACTGTAATTTGCAGCTGTGTCACAATTTCAGCTAAATGATTTTCAATTCATAGGTGGAGCCACCCAGCTACACATGGGATGAAATTCCTGCTTGGCCAATCTCTGAGCCTCAGACTGCAGTGAAGACGAAGCACGCCGATGTGGGCTTTTAAAACAGCAACTAATTGATCACTTGCCTTTTCTCTCCCTCTAATTAAAGGATTTAGGATTGCTGAAGATTTCACAACATGTGTTGAGACACGGAATCTTCTGAGAAGTCATCCAGCCCTTTCTAGCATGACACATGTCTCTTGACAACTCCTAGGATGGGGTATTTTTGTTTTTTTGAGATAGAGTTTTATTCCTGTTGCCCAGGCTGGAGTGCAATGGTGTGATCTTGGCTCACTGCAGCCTCTACCTCCTAGGTTCAAGCGATTCTCCTGCCTCAACCTCCCAAGTACCTGGGATTACAGACTCCCACCACCACACCTGGCTAATTTTTGTATTTTTGGTAGAGATGGGGTTTCACCATGTTGGCCAGGCTGGTCTCAAACCCCTGACCTCAGATGATCCGCCCGCCTCTGCCTCCCAAAGTGCTGGGATTACAGACATGAGCCACTGAGCCCAGCCGGATCTTACGCTTCTCAAAGCAGCCCATACTTGTACTTGGGAAGCTCTGGCTATTACATTAATTTCTAGGGTGGTTCTTCTTAAAGCCTATCTTCCTCCCATTTCATATGATCTCCAGGAGGGCAGGGATTTTGTCTGTACCAGTCACTGTTCCCTCCCAGTACTTTGCAGGTGGGCTCTTAAGAGACCGAGGTTTTGGCCAGGTGCAGGGGCTCAACCCTGTCATCCCCACACTTTGGGAGGCCAAGGGGAGAGCACCATTTGTGGCCAGGAGTTTGGGACTAGCCTGGGCACCATAGTAAGACCTCATCTTTACATAACAAACAAACAAACAAACAAGCAAACAAACAAATGAATTTAAAAAAACTTGGGTTAAAGTGCACTGAAAGGACCAGAAAGCTCTTCCTTATTTGAATTGAGCATTTATTTCCCTAGAGCTTTCACCCGCTGACTGTCACTGCTCCCCCAGACACTCGCAGAGACTACATAAAGCATAGCTATCTTTTTCTTCGTCCAACAATGATTGTGTTCTCCCCCAAATCTGGCAAATACTCCCTCCCTCCCAAAAGTCTTCTCTTTTCTAGGTCAAACATTCAGTTTCTTCAGCCGTTCCTGGTGAGTCAGGGTTTGGAAGCCACCATGTTGTCCTCACCATCTGTTGTCCCGTGGACGGTGCCACGTCCTTCCTCTGGGAAGGGAGCTTCGGTGGCTCCTCGTAGACTAATGGAGCCCCAATTTCTTTTTTTTTTTCCCCATTTATTTATTTTATTGCATTTTAGGTTTTGGTGGAGCCCCAATTTCTTAGTTTGGCAGTCGAGGCCTTTCAGAATATGTTCAATCTTAATTCCGTTATTTTCCACTTTTTTTTTTTGAGACAGAACCTCCTTGCTCTGTTGCCTAGGTTGGAGTGCAGTGGTGCGATCTCGGCTCACTGCAACCTCCACCTTCTGGGTTCGACCAATTCTCCAGCCTCAGCCTCCCAAGTAGCTGAGACTACAGGCACCCACCACCACACCAATTTTTGTATTTTTAGTAAAAAAAGGGTTTCACCATGTTGACCAGGCTGGTCTTGAACTCCCGACCTCTGGTGATCTGCCTGCCTCTGCCTCCCAAATCCCGCCTCCTGGGATTACAGGTGTGTGCCTGGCCATTTTCTACTACTCTTTCATGAACACCCTACTCAGTGAAACATGTCTAATTCTGTCTCCTGGAGCCCAACATGATGCTCCCTCACTCTACACCTGTTTATAAAATGCGCCTGTCTGGGACAGCCACTCTATTCCTTATGTATGCAGGTCTCGTTATCACCAAGGCCCAAAGCAAAGTTCCACTCCTCTTGAGCATCCCAGTGTGTTGTTGTGGACAGAGGAGTTGTAACAAAAC